TCTGGATTGCATTCAGTGCTTAATTGCTAGTATTGAAAAGGAAAAACTATTCCCACATTAAAAGAACTGCTTCTGTATTGTCCCATTCCTATGTTATAAAGACAAATTATTTTGGAGTGGGACATAAAAATATTTTCCACAGCTGATGTCTAGAGTGGCACTTGAAGGTTTGGCAGTTGAGGAAGGCAGAGCTTGGAATTCTTTCTGTATCTGCTGTTCCCGTGTTTTTGGAGAGTGAGTTTTGTGAAACTGTGAAAGCAACTTCTTGGCACTAAGGGACATAAGAGTGTCTTTTAAGTGCCAAGTAGAGAAAATTGCCTGGCCAGGATGTTGTAGGTTCCATTTAGGCATAGGGTGAGGCATTGCTGTTCAGCATCACAGTGAGCTGTAAAAAAATTACAGGAGGCACAGGTGGAGACAGCAGCTAGTCCAACCAGAGTACAAAGCCAAGTGGGCAGGTGGGAAATTGCTAAGCTTTCCTCACTGAATCAATTGCACAACCTTTATAATGCCGTGGCTTACTGAGTGGTAAATTTACTGATGATTTTAACAGGTCTGAAAATAGCAAAGTACTTTGACCATTCTTTGATGTTGTGGTTTTATGCCTCAGGCATGAATATTTATTCAGTAGTCATTTATTGTATGATTAAGTGTCCTCAGAACTGGGGTAGGTAAAAACCAATGTCATTCATCTGTGGGGAGCTGGGTAGATAAGAAGATCCAGGGTTCAGAGTCATTCTTTGTCAATTTAAAACAAACAAAGACCTCAGACTGAGAACATGAACTCAATGCCTGCCTTCACTGCTCAAGCACTTGCCCTGGTAGCTGCCTGCAGACTGATAGATGCCTCAGTATCTGTGGGCTCACGGACAAGTAACCTTGGACCTCAGAATAAGTTGTTGGGATACAACTTCTCTCTAATCAGCTCATGGTTTGAGACAAGTAACACAACAGAGGTATCTTGTTTGGATGAGTACAGAGGAGTAGTGAGTATAAAACATAAGTGCATGAAGTTGGGGTAATTTGCTTTGAAGCATGGAGTAGCAAGAAAGGACTGAATGCAAGGCTTATCCTAGGATAAGACTGCATCAACTTCTGTTTTACTATCAGAAAAATAATTTTGAATCCTTATAATACAGTTCCCATAGTGAAAGTAGGTTAAAAAGAGAGGTGATTCAAGATAGTAATGTAGAAAAAAAATAAAATCTTTCAGTTCTAGGACAAAGTTAATTAAGTTAACCAAGAAGGTCATTCACATTTGAAAGATTCATGACCCAGCAATTTTTCAGAAGTTCAGCTTTTCTTAAAGACATAAGTGTGTTGCTTTTGGAAAAGAACTTCAAAATTAACTTTAGGGATTCAAGAACTGAAAGGCAAATGAAAGGATATTCTCTTATAAAGCCCATTATGTTTTTAACTTTAAAGGTAGTCTCATGCTATTGTGGAATCTGACACAGTTTACTGCAAAGCTTAAAATAATAGAGGTATAATAAATGTCCTTGAACATTGTCTGAAAGTCTGATTGCATCTGACAAAATCATGCTACAATAACAGTAATTTTTACTGGCCTCAATTTCAACTTTTGGATGGCAGGTAGTTGGTCAAAACAACCCCATTTTCCATAAGTTGGTTTTTTTTTTCTTTGTGATGAATCAAACAGTTGGAAGAATTTCTGGAATATCCTGTTCAGAGGGGATGACAATTAGTTACACTGATAGCACATTTGCTTTGTGTATCTGTGGGAGCCAAGGATTACTGTCCTCTCATATGATCAATTAGGATGTTGTCTTCTGAATAATGCCAGCTGTAGAGTGAGAAGTACCTCTGCAACAGCCTAAATTCAGATATTGTGAAATTAGTCTACAAAGCATTAATTTAGCCCCAAGAAAAGCTTAAAATTAAGAGTCCTTTTTTAAGGAGCTTTGTATGGTTGAGTCTCCTTGTGTAAGGATGATGTACTAATCTGATGTAATCTACTAAAACCTATGCAGTTCTTGTGTGTAAGGTATAGGCCAGACATGAATTATGTGCAGTAGTATGGTCCCAAGAGTCACATGAGACTCTTAAAAATAAAAGCTTTGCTTACCTTAGAATTTTGAAAGGAGAAGCCTTTTATAACATAAATAGAGATAAGGCCATAAACTGGCAAATTTCTCTCCACTCTCCCACAGAAATGCAACTGGTGTGCTTTGGCAGGCTTAATTCTTGTAAGTGTAAACCCAGTTCTCTGCAGAGCTATGAGGCCTCTGTGTACAGCAGCAGGAGGACCTGTTGAATGTGAAACCTCACCAAGTCCTGAGACAACATGTTCATGGATTGTTTTCTTCATACTCTTCTTTATTGAGAGGAAGTCACTCCTGCAGGTGGTAGAACACATGGAGTGTTTCTGACATTGGGGAGGTGGGTTTCCTCCCTGTAAGGACCTTACGCTTGTTTTGCTGCCTGTTGTGTCAAGTTTTCATGAGTTTGGTCACCAAGGAATCACCAGGCTGGTCGTTTTACAATCAGATTTAATAGCTCAGTTTCATTGCTTCTTTTTACATCTGACTTCAGGTATGTGTCAAGTATTCTATCAGACCAGATTAGGGGTTTAGTACTGTTTCTGAAAATGACAAATGCTGCGGAAAGTTTTGCAGACACAAAAACTACCCAGAATGAGTTTATAATCCTAAAGCATGGAGTTTCAGAGCTCTGAGAATACTTTATCCAAGCTGCTAGTGTGGAAGATGTTTTTCTTATGCTATTAGGACATGTCTCTAAGGCTTTAAAAAAATTATGTCGGTCTTTTTGCCTTCATTGTATTCCTAGACTTTCTTGCTTTTTGTTACTTAGGAAGTGTGCTGAACAAAAATGCAAGATATCCAAATAACATAATATTCTGTCTTTTCTGCTATCCTGAATTGTAGTAGAAGCAGAGCAAAAGGCAGGGGTCTGCAGTTACTTTAAAATAATTCCTCCAGGAGGTAACAACCAACTAAAAGCCCATTTATGGCTGAGCTGTCTTCAGCAGTTTTTTGCAGTAAGTTTTTTCATACTTCACTTTTAAATTTCATCTGTTTTTATGCTGCTCAGTTACTTTTGTACTAAATCCTCTAGATGCTCTTCTTGTGTCCTAATAAATGCATAAATCACTTCAGTTTTAAAAACTAAAAGTCTCATTGTTTCTGAAATGTGTAAAGGTGGCGTAGATCGTATCCTAATGGAAAATAAGGTCTCTTACTCCTGTCATGTCATTTTAGTTATATCCTTTTGGTAGCCCCGGAGCCCGTTGTACTCTGAATTCTTGCGCAGAAGGTAGTGCGCTGCTGGAGCCCTGTGTCCTGACTGACCTGAAGGTCTCACACATGAATAAAGTCATAGGGGATTTGTGCCATAATTCTTTGCTAGTATCTCTTTTTTGTAAGGGAAAGTTCAGTGGATAAGGACTAGCTGGATGCAAGGTTCTGTCTGAGCCATGTATTCAGGATATGATCCTGCCAGTCTCCTGAACTCTGATGATTTGCTTGAAGGTAGAGGGAAATATATCTGATTCCTTGATGGGACTGCTTAGAAGAATGCAATGAAAAAATTCTTAATGAAAAACACAATGGTATTTTGCTCCCTCTACAGGTTCTTTCTAGGAAACAACTGAATAACCCCTCATTTAACTGAGTGTTTAAAAAAAAACCTAATGAATGTCTGTAAGCTGTTTCTGCTTCTCTAATCCCCACTTGGCTGCAGCTTCTGAAGATATGCATTGAACCAATATGAGCTGTTCCTGAAAAAGCTGTTCCAATATTATGTTCCTGAAATCTGTGTAGCAGCATCATAAATCTGTCAGCACACAGAAAATAGCAATTTAAGTGTGTTCTTTGCATTCTATTATGAGATTGCTTTCCACAAAAATTTCCTTTACTGCTTCCTTATTTTCAAAAATCTATACAAAATTTATTCAAGATATTCAAATATATTGTATTTGGGGATGGTTATTTAGTTGATTTTTGTTCACAGTTCTCAGGAATCCAGAGCTGTTCTTGCCTTATCTCTTGGTCTTAATTTTTTTTTTATAACCCCCAAGTTAATGCTCATTTTTAATCCCTGGCTATTATATTGATCACTTTCAGCCATCTAGGCCTGACTCCTAATAACAGATTACATGTTTTTGGTATTTTTTCTGATTGCTCCTAAAGGTTCTTCAAATCCCTGGAGGGACTATTAAATCCCAGATCCCAGTTCTCCCTCCCAGATTTCCCTTCAGTTTAAACACAGTCTCCGTGGCCTTTCTGAAACATTCCTGTCTTAGACAATGAGTGCAAAAGGTGAGGGAAGAGTCTGAAACACAAGCCACAATTGTCTGACATAGGAATGTGTGTTTGGAGAGGCCACAGTCAGCCTTAGAGCATGGAGACTTTGGGAATATGCTGTGCACAGATGAAGAAATTCCACAGCTCATAAGAATCACGTTTGTCCCCATGTGTGCATGGCAGTGCTGTCTTTATTGGCATTTGTCCCCCTGCAGAGTAGCAGAGGATCCTTTGGAAGTTTGGCGTTTGGGAGGGCCTGCAGAGAGCCTTACTGGGACAATAACTCTGATTCCCAGCTGTTGTTGGCAACTGCGTCGTGGCTCCTTTCATAAACAGAAACAGTCTCTTTTCTGTTCTGCTCCTCAGCTATTCCTGAAGCTCCCTGCTGCTATCATTAAAAATCATCTTGTCATACTCACCCTAAGTTTATTCCCAGTCAGATTGTAATGCTCATTTATTAATCCTTTTGGCCTTTAATGAACCAACTCTTTCCAAACCAATGTTTATCCCACCAATGTGATTCTCTAGTATAGTAATATTTTCACAGCCTCTAGCTCAAACTCTTCTAGTGTTCTCAAATATCCTGCACATGTCCTGGGCTACTCATATTGCTCTTCTCTTTACAGTTTGAATTTATTATGGTTCTCTGGGAAAGGCTAGACAATTTGTACTGAAATTCGTTTTATTTGTTATTCCATTTTTAAAAGAATGTGCCAGTTAAAGAAATAAAGAAGCATTGAAACCATAGTTCTTGTGTCTCTTTCTCTCAGTAGTGTTATCTGTGAGGATTTTTTCTCTTTCCTTTTACAGAATCATGTAAATGTTTTTGTGCTGCTGTCTTAGAGAAGGAATGTTGCAGCTCCATCAGCACTGTCTGGTGCTAAGGAACTTCACAGCTAGGTATCTATTCAGGCAGTGTTATCTCTCTTGGCCCATCCTCTGGTTTCCATGCAGGCAGACATGTTTCTTGATGCCAAAGTCTGTGCAACAAAATTACACTTTCCTCATGCTTTACATCCAATGGTAAGCTTGGCTTACTTAGGCTAACTGGGTTTTCCCATATTGCATGTTCATCCAAATATCTGGGCTTGAAATCTTCACAGGAAAGTGAACATGCAGATTTTGTAAGGGATTCAAATTTGGGCCTTCCTGAAAGCTACCGCATCTACAGTCTTTCTTTTTGCAACAGATGATTGTTTATTGTTTGGCTTGATTCAAGGTAAGGAACTTTCTGGTAGCATGTCTGAGACAGAGTGTCCTGCTCTTGGCTCACATCCCATTTTTGGTTTGTGCTTTCTGTCACTTTGCACTGATGACCGAGGCTGGCTGCTCATTTTATTTCACTCAGCACTGTGCTTTAGTAGCTGGTGACAACAGTGGCAATGCTGAGTACATGTGAAGGCATCACAAGGAGTACCGGTCTTGCAGAATTGATTCATGGGGATGTTCACTTTGAAGTAAGCAGGCAGTGCACCCTTCAGGAGGTGTCACTTGTGACAGACCATCAGAAATGTTTCTGTATGAAGAAAGTAGCAGGATTTATACTGCCATCTATGTCTCTTAGCAGGGACTGCTTATTTTAGCAGACCATTGATCGTGACTAGTGAAAAAGCACAGTTAGATGTCGCTCAAAGAGAAGCAGCCCAGACCTTCACTACTGCCCCTGTCATATAGGGAGCTCAGAGTCACACCTTTTGCTTTGGAAAATAAAATATTCTGTTCCACTTTGGTAAATAAGATGTAAATGGGTCTTGTGCTTTCTTCTATAAGCATCTGTCTTCTCGTATGAGTGATAGTATAAATGGTGACTGGAATTAATGTGTTTTTAACTTTTAGGAACAGCTGCAGGTGGTTTTAAGGATGCTCACTTGCATGTGACTTTTTATCCTTCTCAACCACAGTTTGATCCACTGCTCACATGCTGTTAACCTTTATGAATCATTTGAATTGTTGAAGCTTCAGATCCTGGTGCAGAGCCAAAGGAACTGTTGAAATGTAAGGTACATTTGAGTCATGTAGCCAAAGAATTAACTTCAGCAATTACTGTGCTGAACAATCTCAGTGTTTGATATTCATCATATGTAAGCTTTAAGTGGATGAGTGTTGTTCAGGTAAATCATCATGACCCAGGGTAGGCCTCTGCCAATCACACTTTGGAAGCTAGAGGGCAATAAAACTGCTCAGTTTTGAATTATGTAAGGTGTTGGTCTCGATTTTAATTTCCAGAGACAGTGTTGTTTGAAGTGTTCATTATCATAAAGCAAAAGATTTTGTTTTCTTCATCACACTGAAAAAAAGTTAGACAGCTTTTCCATTTCAGATACAGGGATTCAATTATCAGAAATTTGTAAATGCATCAGAAAATGTGAAATGTAAATCAGAAGGGATTTCCTTACTTGGATTTGTTTTAATCCAACAGAAGAAAAGCAGGACAATTGGGTGACTTCTTATCCAGGGCCATTTTGGACTATAACTAAGAAAATGGCAGCACCCTACTTAATTGCTCTGCTTTATGTAAGTCCATGCTGTTAGAATCTGGAAGTGTATAAAGTCAGCAGAGCAGGGATGTGTTCCTTCTGTTCTACCTGCAGAATTGCAGAGTCAGTTACAATTGCTTACAGTTACAATCAATCAGAGCTGTGTATATAAAGCCATCACAGGTAATGATGCGTTAGCAAAACACAGCTCTCGACTTGATTTGCTCTGCTTGTATACCATATTATGCTCTGTTTGCATGAGTAGCATTTAATGCAGATAATATCTTTTCACTTTTATACAGGTCACAGAGAATATGAAGTGCTGAAGACAACAAACACAGGGTTTTTCAGTATAGTTTTATACATCCTTAAGAGTAAATCTTGGCATTAAAATAGAATCTGCTAATGTTATTGATGCACCCTGGAGGAAGAAAGACAGATCACCCATGCAAATGGAGAAGTATAAATCATACAAACTCTGCCAAATTTAAACTGGTATAGTTAGTAAGGAAGCAGTAGTCTGCAATGGTAATAAGTCACTTATCAAACACATAGTGCAATAAGGACAGTAAATTGCTGAGTTCAGGCAGACTGTCCTGATTAATAACAGCTGAACACGTAGCCAATACATTTCAGTCTCTGTAGTGCTGCCCCACTCACATGAGAGCTGCCAACTCATTTTATGGACGCTGTTTCACATACTACTCAAGGCAAAAGATCTTTTGAATTGCTGCTGTGTGCTGGTGCCAACTTAAAATGGTAAGATAAAATGTAAGCAGATAATCACAGTAACTTCCCATCCTGCAAATCCTGAAGAAGTCATTAATCCATTATAGGAGTTCTGTCAACTAGCTGTGTCAGGACTGATCTAGTTTTCTGAACTTTTGCCTTTGCTTTAGAGTGAGCTTTGCCCTGTGCTTAAGTATTGTCAAAGAGAAGGCTTAATTCTGGTAGCTGAATCAGATAATACTCTTGCCAGTATTACTTTTGGTGGAAGCATGATATTCTTAGTAAATGCAGTATTTATTAGTTCTGTGTCTTCACCTAGTTCTCCAGTCAATCTGCAAACTGCTTTTATATAATAGTTACCCAAGATAAGGCCATATATTGGAACTCTTCCTAAACAGAGACTTTTTTTATTATCACACATTTTTATGGGTTAGGAAAAACAGAACTAATTCACTATCCTCCTGAAAAACCTCAGATAATTTGCAGTTTATGTGTCCTTTATTACTAAATAACAAAAAAAAAATAAATCAATGTCTTTGAGAAATTTAGGAGCTAATAATTTGTGGTTTCACATTGCAATCCCAACTAAATTAATTTAAGAAAAATTGCTTCCCTGTGAAGACCCGACTGTATGTCGTGATCTCCAGAGTCCTTTCAGTGTTTTGTAGCATATTGGTTATTCTTGGAGAAAAGTTATATTTGAGCTCTTTAAAATGGAGTTGGGGCCACTGTTTTTGGTGGGTTTGGGTAGTATCTCTGACCATTTTCTTTAACAAACTTGGAAAGCTGAAGGATAAGAAGAAATAGGCAAGGTATAAACCAAATATGTGTGCTGTATGCAAAAAGACTATTTTAAATAATCTTTTAATGGAAATAACATTGTCACCCTCCTCTCCCTCAGTTATCTGTATAACAAATGCTAATAAAAGTAATATCTGGTGGAAAAGTGTATTTCCTACAGTATTAGTACTCAAGTGGGAGTTTCAACAGGTATGTAGTTATGTTGAACTCAGGTCAAATAACTTGGAATCAAGTTCTCCATGGTGGTCACATATTGTAGATAGGGAAAGCTATGTAAGCTTTCTTTTGTAGTCACAATTATAAACTGCCTTAAAATGAACTGCCTCCTATTGTTTCCATTGCCACATCTGTAAACAGTGTGTCCACATTGATCAGAATGACAGATGGGTCTGCATTTCCAGCTGTAGATGAATGCTCACTATTAAGAGAGCTGTGCTGGTGGGAGAGGTGCTTTCTGTGAGCTGCTGCTAATCTCTTTTGCCTTTGGAAACTGGCCTGATGGATGTGCCAACAGAACTCATCTTTACTCTTTTGGTACAAAATAATCAGGATTAGACCTGATCAGCTATTTAATCAGCATCAGTTGACCCAGTGATGTGTGATGAAGTCTTCATGGAGCTACATGATCATCTGCACCACTAGATCTGGAAATCTAATTGTCTCAGGCAAAGAGGTGGTGACAAGCAGCTGAGAGCTGGATCTTATACCAGAAAAAAGCTGCCTTTGCAGAAGGCCATCTTCCCATTGCCAATTGCAGGAGCTCTGGGTTGATTCACACACTGGCAGGGAAGATTCTTCTTGCATATTCTCTGCACAATTTTTGCAAACAGGAACAGCAGACACTAAACCTTAATGAATTGTGAAGCTCATTCTGAATTTCTAATGTCACCATCAGGAATAACTAAGTGTTTTTAGATGTCTTGTAAAAATGAAACTACAGTGGAATTAGTTTCCAACACCATTTCTGTCACCACTCTTTTCTCTCTCCAGTCTTTCTGCCTCCTGTTTCCTTATTTACCTCACAATGATGCTGCCAGCATTAATTACATTATAGATACTATGAGTTTTGTAAAGGAGAGGTGGAAAAGACACAAAGCTTTTAAGCACAGCCTTCTGTTGGTAAAAGTCACTTGACTGTAGTCTGGGTTATCTGCATGTAACCAGGGATTTCTCTTTCAGTCATGACAACTGAAGTGTCCCAGTGTGGTGGAGACACCCAGTCTCCAAGAAAGTCAAAACATATGGAGGGAACAGCAAATGAAATGGAAGTATTTCCTAAGTGCCCATGGTAACTGTCCCCTTAGCTGATAATTCTGAACCTGTTAAACTTTGCTGGAAATAGATTTTGGTCTCTGATGATCCTCCTGTTGTGCAAAAATAGGCTTTGTAATTCCACCTCCACACATGATTAGTGTTTCTTAAATTGACCAGTGATCAGCAAAAACTGACTGAAAATGACTGCTCCTAGCATTACATATTCTGTGGAAGGATTTTGGTTTTGGATGGACAAATACCTCACTAAAAATCACTCATGTACCAAATTATATAAATAACAGTACAACATTGTACTGATGACTGGGAATGGCAGCTAATAAATGCAGATTGACCTCCCACTTAACATCAGCTTTTACTTTCCTGAAAAGCTTCTTATCCATGTCAGCATGTGCTTTTTCTGTTTCAAACAGTTACTGCCAAACCTTTCCTGACAAGCACTGCCACTACACAAAGAGGTGCTGGCTTTCTCCTGTCCCAAATTCCCCCTAACCCTGTGTGGTCAGCAGCTGGCAAGTGCTCCTCATCAGTTCATGCAGGTGATCTTTGAAATCTTCTGAAGCAAAGTACCTGTCAATTAAGAACAATGATTTCATGCCCCTTCCCTCCTAAATTTGATGTAAAACACTCTCAGGGTAAATGCTGCTGGGGTTAAAAACAAACACCTCATGATGGCTTACACAGTGTTCTGCAAATTGTAGATGTCTAAGGGTTTCATCTCAGACTTCATAAGGGATAGGAAGAACTGTTTTTTCTCTCTGGATCTTGTTCTCCTATTAATATAGTGATAAAATGTTTTAAATAATTCAGCTCTTATTTCATGGGTATCTCTGTTGACCCAAATAAAGGTGGTAGGGATGACTTTGGCCCGAAAAACGCTATTTTTTGGTCCCATTGATGTTTTTTTTTCCCCATTTTTCTTTCCCTGTTTTGGACTGTGAAGGATTAGTTGTCTGGCAGAAGATATCAGACACACTAAGTGATCCATCATGCTTTTGTGGGGAATGGCAGCTAATAGCTCAGGCTGCATGAGTTGCTTTTATTCTCAGAGCTGAGACATCCTCCATGAGACTGCAATTATCAGCACATATAGCTTTATTTTAAGCCCAGGTACTTACCAGGACCACTGGTATAGTCAGATTCTGTTAAACTTCAGCAGAAAAGAGTCATGGCTGCCATGGTGTTTTTAAGTAAGTTTCAAGAATAAAGGCTAAACCAACAGAGTTCTCTCTTACCTCCGGTCTTCCTCAGAACAACCATGTCAAAAGTTGGGATGGAAAGGTTGATGACTGCTTGAATTGATCCCAGTGTCTCAACCTTGAGGTGATCTGAAGTTTGGGAACATGGTATACCTAGAAATGTGTGTGGGGTACAGGTGAGAGGGGGAAAATGGCAGGCACAGTGGTCTTGGGTTGGTTTAAGTTGTTAGGAAGAAGGACAGAAAGAAAGAAAATTTCATTATTTCACATTTCACTGGGCTTTAGATTAAATATAACACTTTGCAAGAATGGGGAAAGATGTGAGCATCAAAAAAGTGATATCTTGTTTTTTTTAGTCCCCTTTTGCTTGCACCCTGCAAAGAATTCCCAATGATCCTGCCCTTGAAGCTTTTTTACATGATCAATCATACTGATTCTCATTTACTTTTATGTGGCTTAAGGGAATTAAAGATTTTTGCACAGCTCCAATTAATACTGAGTTTGTGCTTATGTAATCAAAATTTGTCTCTAAGATGGCATTTATTTCTGTGAGGAAGGAGAATAAAGCTAAACAGGAGATTTTACGGGATACTGAGATCTGGGATTTCATGGAGAGCCCATGTTCCTGTGGCTGTTTTTTTCAGCTATAAAATTTTAGTGGTAGAGTAATTTAAGACTAAATAAAATCAGGAGAATAATGAAATCTGAGGACAATTAAAGCAGTGGTTTATTCCAGTAAGAAAGACTAGCACCCTGTTTGGATTCATTTAACTTTAGCATAGCACTGCATACAGCAACTTACTGAGAGCAAACACCTTCTCCCAGTTGCTGTGTAAAGCAAAGTCTCAGTCTTGTACAGGAGCCAGATTAATTCAGTTCCTAGAGCTGAATTGTGAGTGTGTCATGACATAATGAGGTCTTACCAAGCCAGACTTTTCTGAGGTTTCTCTCTCATAAATCTGTTTTCTGAGGGAGAAATTGTTCTTTATAGTTGCTCTCAAACACTTTAATTCACATTAGCTAAAGAGGCCATGAACAACACAGCCAAGAAAACCTAATTAGCTCATAGACAAGTAAGCAAGATCAGTATTTGTTAGGAGAGTGCATGTGCTGGGTAAAC